AGAAGCAACTGATGGAAGGGAAGTTGAGGACACCTCAGAGAAAGGTTTATACACATTTCATTAGCAAAGTTTTCAATGTATATTTCAAGTTAAATGGACCAAAACAGATTTATCATGAAGATTGTGGGAGGTGCATGGACTGTCTGGACCTGTTGTTATATGATTAGCAGATTATATTAAACTGACCGTTCCTTGGTATGAGAAGGAAATGTTAAAAAGATATCATTATATGGCTACAATAGTATGCACACTCTGATTGGCTTCTAACTGGGCAAGATTTTCTTATAATGACCACGCATTACTAGCTAGGTGTCCAATGAGGTGTTGTGGTTTTTAAAAGTTATCTGCTGACCAGTTATTGGTTTTAATCTATCGCAGGCTCAGGTCCATAATTTCTCATGACCTTAGCAAAGACTGAGCTATAGCGAGGTCAATACATCAAGGCTGAGGTCTGAGATTTCCCTGTAATGACTTTACTCTTGGTTTTATAAGTGGTATATAATCTGCAAGTGATATAGGATAAATGCTGAAGTTTTGCCAACCAAACCAAGTAATCAATAGATCATTTTTTTACTGTATAAAATATAGGATACCCTGAAGGAATATCAGCATCCGAGTCAGCCTCAGTTAGCAGTCAAGAGCAAGTCCATGGACAGCATACCAGAGTGTCATCTGATCTTATTGGTGCATTACTTAAGCGAGGAGAAAAGCTAAGAGAAGCAATGGTGACAACAGCTGATGAAGACAATGAATTAGATGAACCTGGGGTACTTGGTACATTTGTGAAAAGGTCAGTTGTTACGTTATAAAATAATGGTCTTATTGATGTATTGTTACATCCTTTTGTCTTGGATTATTTAAGCCCTAACTTTGACCAGAATCTAATTTTTCATTACTAACAATGAAATGTAACTGCCAAAGTAATCAAGCATAGGTAACCAGCCAGACTGTCAAAAAGTTTTGAAGTAGACGGCTGAGTTGTCAAAGTAAGCAGCCAGTCTTATTTATTAGGATCACTGGACATGAAAAAGAGTAGTCTTGAAAATCTCCTTACTGATTTAAGGGTTCAAAAGGATTGATAACAATCAGACACAGGAAGCCTAAAAATAATCTCTTTTGCTTGAAAATTGTTTTCACCCAAAGAAAAAATTGGAGCCATGACAGACCCTAAAATTATTTTTCTTGCTTACTTCCTTTGTTTAATAATTAAGAGAATTCTTAGTACCTGGTATCCAATATATTGTTTAATTATTCTAAGTTTTTATTCTTTTAGCACTACACCTCCTGGTAAACTGTTCAAGGCAATTCTTACCTCAAATGAGAGCGATATTAAACCTGACTCACCTGGTGAAGATGAGAGTGCATTGATTGAATCAGTGTTTTTACATAATGATAAAGCTGTTGACTTAGTGCTTGGTGAAGAAGATCCACATTTTATGATGAACTCCTCTGACTCTTCACCTGAGAGCAGTGTAGTTAGTGAGGCTGGAGAACCACTCTATGATGAGTCACTTTTGAAAGATTTGTTTTACACTACACCGGTAGGTTTCAAAAATATTTACTTGACAAAGTTGATCATCTTACTTAAAAGTTGATCATGTTAAAACCCAAACAAAATTTGCATGATTTTAATGGAAGGCTACTTTAACTGTGAATATGTCTGTCACCATTGACCATGCAAGCAAAACTTTATTGCATTAATTTATTGTGTCGGTGTATCAAATCTTTTCATGGTAAGGCAATTTTTTAAATTTTCTTCTCACCATGAGAGCGGTCATTAGAATGAAGAAATTATCCCGCACAAAAAATCTCTTTATTTCAATTTTTAACAACCTGTTGTAGTTTCCACAAGAAATAAAATGGAACATGAAAAATAAAATGTACGCTCATGCACACACATTTTTAAGATGCTATTTTTTAAAACTGTATTCAGGCAGTGGCTTCAGATACAGAGTCGGATAATACAGTCAGCACAGATGATAATGATGATGATGAGCAACCTCTGACTCATGTCATCTCTTTAAAATCAAGAAAAGAGAAAAAGGTAACTGGTGCTTATATATTAAATGTGTTTCTATCTGTAATTCATTGATACATTTGGGGAAAATAATGGCTATTATAAATTAATGTGCAGTCAGAATCAACAAATTTGTCGATTCATGATGGTAATGTACATCCACCTCTTTTTGTGCAATTGTTATTAAAACCGTTGTTAAACATCCATTGAGGATACTGTCACGGTAAACTGTGAAGGGTTTTATGTTCAATATGTATCCTATTTTGCAGAAAACCAGGACAGCAAAGGGCAGGCAACAATTTCCGCAGCAATTACTCATACAAGAACGTGATGAGAAAGATGTATCAAGTGTGGAATATATTGATCCCAATCAAACCAATAGTAGTGATACCCCTGAAAAATATAGAGGTGATCTGTTTTCATTTGAATAAATAATGCCTCAATAGAAATTATCATGTCCATAAATTTATTTTCTCAGAATAAAATTCCCAAGAATGGTTCTTGTAAAAAAAACGTCAAACAAAGAAAAAAAAAACAAGACAATGGCACACAGTCTATGGTTCACACTGCTGGTGGAATCAATAAAACCTTCCCCAGAGTCCTCAAAAATTCTTTTGGTGGAAAAATGACACACCAATTGTGGTTTGTTTTCCCTTTTGTAGAATCATTTGATATCTTTCTTTTAGAGTTTCAACTATGACAAAAGATGACTCAGCGAATACCTAGTATAATATTTTAAGGTCAGCTTTGACCAAAAAATGTGGAATTCACCAACGATGTCATCCCTTTAAACCAGCCCTTGTAACCAGTACATTATCTTGTATCCTGTGTCTTTTATTTGTCTGCAGTCTTGATACCTGTATTTTTCCCATTGTGCAGGTCACCGCACTCCAACAAATAGTTCTGCTGATTCATTTCCATCAACTAAGAACGGCAAGGAGTCAAGTCCAAATCCTCATGAATTCATTGAAAATATTGGTCCTGAGAAACTGACTGCATTGGGTAGAGTTGATGCTGCTCGTGTTATTGTGGATAGTCTTGGAGTCAATGGAGATAATGTGAAGTCAGGGTAACAATGTCTGTATTTGTGATGGCGAGTTGTTAATAATGTACTGTTAGTTGATCAGAGTTGGTGTCACACCTGACATTGACACTTAGATCGAGCTGCATACTCCACTGAGAACAGCAACCCCTACAGATATAACTGCCTCTTCTCATTATTTTTGTTCAGGACATACTTTGTTGAGTACAGCTTCCCTGCTTCAATGCTTACACAAAGACAAAAAGAAAACATATCTATGGCAACAGAACTAACCAGAATTGCATCAAAAAAGCTCCAAGATGCAGGTAAAATCTCATCGCTTGACAATAGCAATCAACATAGCTGTTCTAATAAAGGTGGTTTTAGGTTCAATACCTCAAACACCAGTTACAAATGTGTGTTTTAAAATATTCATTTAAATTAGGCAGATTAACACCAATATGATGGATGACTTATTAACAATGTCATGTAGACAGACTAGTTATCTGTATTGTTTTTGGCTGCAGTGTAGGGTTTTAATGAATAGATTGTTTTGTTTCTCTCTACAGAAGTATCATTCAACCATCGCTCAGTGTTCCCAGCACTGTTTAATTCAACTGTGATAGATTACTGGTGGAGAAGACCACTGACCTTCAGAGTTTACTTTAGAGAGTCAGGAAAGAGAATGGTACATTGCTATTTAGAATGGTTGAGAATTTGTAGGATAGCTACAATCACTTTCAAAATTGTTGAGACATTGAACTCAAGTAGGATAACTTCAGAGAACAAAACAATCCACACCCCTTCCCCTCCCCTCCTAGAAAGGTTGGAGTGTTCTACAGGTAGCTCAAACAGTGGCACAACATTGCATGGAGGGGATCATGGGAAAGGAAAAGCTTTATTTTCCCTTTTTGAAGTCGGTCAAGAAAAGAAAAGACCCTTTAGGGCAAAATGTCTCAACTAATCTTGCACTGATTGTAGGCTTAAACACACCTGGCTGATAGCAGGCCCAGATGTAACTCTTCTGTTTGAATTACATGAATACAGTGTAATAATTTTCCCAAGTAAGTAGACGCTGTATTTCTGTTTAAGCCTGTAGTTGTTGGAGTAGCAACCTTTCCTCTCAAGACAGTTCTTCAATCTGACACTCTCAGCTCATCAGCATCTTTGCAAATCAAACACAGTGTGGATCATATTAGACGTGAAGAATCCAGTAGTTCATCATCAGTGTATCATGCTTCCTCCTCAGACGATCACCCTCTTTATGGGGTATCATTTGGTCCCTTATTGGTAAGTCCAGGTACTCCAACCAAGTGTAAAATCAACAGTTCTTTCTCATGACAGTCCACAAAAAGTACTAAAGAAACATGTCACTGACATTTTTATAACAGCCTTCTCAAACTCATGAATAATTCATAAAGAAAATACAAAGGAAATTAATGTTTAATGGTGTTTGGAAATCAGATGAAGAACTGCTCATTTTTGCATCATTAATTTATCCTTCTAAAATCATTTTGTTTGAGAAGTAATATTAAGCATTTGACACAATGTTTCATCACCAGATGAAACACTTCGAAGTTCATCAAAAATACTGCGCCGTGCGTTGTATTTTCAACTCTCTTCCCAGTGTTTCATCTGGTGATGAAACACTGCATCTCATGCATGATATATTACTTGAAACATGGTGTTGTCAATGACATCTACCTTTAAATTTAAACAGTTCCTTGTGGATTGGTAGGGTCAACATGTCTTTTTCCTGCCTTACGTAATGTTATTTTAATGTTTCTTAATATATATAGGTAAAAGTGGAATTAATGACAGATGGAAAGCAGCTTCATGTAAAACCAAGCGCTCACAAGAAGCCCCCTCTTCCAGCCACAACAACACCAACAAAGACAGCAGACCATTTACAGGTTACAAAACCTGCTCAAATTGTTGGCCAGGTTTTCGGTAAAGCATCTCATAGTCCAACCAAGGCTGCCAGCCTGTCAGACAAGATGTTGCTCCAAACTTCTTCTAAATTTGACAGAGTTGATGAACCTGAAAGAGAGCCTTTAACACTTTTCCTGCTACTTTGGATACCTGAAGGCAAGGATCTCATCCAACATGGTTACCATAGTAACCAAGGGCTTGTTACTAAAAACAACTTATACCTAGTTTGCCGTATGTTTTGGTGTGATGAGTTATCTAAATCAAGAGTGTGCTGGGGATCTGCAAATCCATCTTTTGGCTTTAAGCAGGTAGGTCCAACCAAGCAAAATGAGAAAGAGATCTCATGAAGTGAGCCATCCTTTAGTGCAGAATGACTTGCACACATACAGCTTATTTAAGCAAGTTACAGTTTTTATGTTACATATTTTTAGATTGTTAGAAATGTTTTTTTTAGGAATTTTTGTTAATCACCAACCAAAGGTTATACATAGCCTAAAAACTCAGTTGTAAACCTCTCTTGATCTTGAACACTACACAGGGCAGGTCAACATCAGCTTAATTATTACCACTGAGTGGCACTGAACCATTTATTTCAATATGTTTAGGTTGCCCCGGTGCTACTAACCTCATCTCTGCTACAACGAGTCTGCAATAACTTTATGGTGATTGAAGTTTGGAACAGGATTGCTTCACAGGACCATGGTGACCAGGTGAAGTGGGAAGAAAACAAACAGTACTTATGTGTTTGTTTGTGACATATGTGTTTCTATTTATCTATGTTGCATGCTTGTGATACTGAACCCGACAAATGCCAAAACGAACATTTTGCTCTTCAATGATAACTCTGTCCACTTAAGTGAAACAAGTCTCCAAATCTTGTGGAAAACTAAAATTGGAAATGTTCAGAGGTAGGGTGCCGGTAATAATTTTGTGGCTCAACATACAAACGGTTCAGATCAAGGAATTCCACACTAGCACAGTTTTTACTGCTTTTTTGAGAATGCAGACCATTGATGGCTTCCTCAGCATCTTTAAGGAAGCTACAGAAAGTATGTTTTATTAGTGTGAACATTTCCTAAATTATCTATATAATTTTTTTATTCTTCCTTTTTGGGAAGCAAAAGATAATAGTTTTCTTTTTTTCTAACTAGTTGGTAGGACTTGTGAAGTTGCCATTGCACCAGTTGTACTTGTCATATAGGGATCCCAAGATCACTAAAACGCTACTCAAGTCTAAGGTAACTAACATATTCTGTCTCTGATCACTGACGGCAATAATAAGAAAATAGCTTGTTCCAATCAGTTATCAATGTCTACAGGTTGGTGGTAGGTTAGTCCAACAATTTAAATTGCAATTTACTTGTGACTATTTAATTGGCTTTTATTGAAGAATAGCATAAATGGTTAAATATCCTTTCTGCAAAAGCAACGTTCCATTTGGGAAGCATAGTGTTAATGCTGTCTTCTTTGACTGCGTTATGTTTGTGCGTGAGTTTATTGACTGATGGCAAAAATAGCTTCCTTTGTTTCTTTCAGTATCCTGTTGTGGCCTTTGATGAGTGGAGTTCTGTTACTAATCCATTTACTCACATCCAGCATGGTCAACTAAGGGTCCTTTTAGCCATGGGCTTAGAGGAGCAGGTAATTTTGCGCACCATAACATTGGATTGTATTAGCCAGCAGATCTATGTAACCAATGTCTGTTTGGGAGGATGCCAGTCACGCTGGAGGATTTCTTTTTTTTGTTTATTTATACTAGGACTGAAATACTGAAACTCTGGTTGAAATTATTGGGTCCTTAAGTAACTGGTTTTCCTTGCTGTTTTGCATAGCCTTACTGTTACAAGGTTGGGTAGAAGTGGTTTAGGGTTAGTTACATGTATGTTAGTAGGCTGTAGGGATGTCTGCGAACTCTTTCCTTTTTTTGTTGTTGTTTCAGGTTGCTGCCATCCTGGCTATGAAATGTGGAGGAGATCTTCTGGTTGGCATTAGTAATTTACGTCCAGATCACCATCTTGACAATCAAAGGTTAATTTGTAAAATTGTTAAATCACAGTTTTTACATAATCTCCAGTGAGGTACATTAGTGAGGCATTGTGGTCAGTCCTCTAGTATCCCCATGATCAATGCAGCATTTTTTGTTGAGCAGTTATTGACTTACATCTTTTTTAATTCAATTTGTAGAGTGAGCAGTAGAGATGACCATGAAGGTTTGCAAGAACTTGGTAAGATAGTGAACTATCCTCTTAACTATCTCTACGTCAGTTACAAGCTAAACCACATATCCTAACAGACTCTTAGAAACTTACTGCCAAAAACTGTGAGCCGTATGGTTATTTGGTGGCCACTATTAATGTGATTAATAGACTGAGTGAAGGCAGGCTGGTTTTGAGAGACGGTTGAAGATGATTTGTTGTGCTTTTTTGACAGTCGAACATCAGTTTGAGATCACAGTTGAGGACATTAGAGGCTTGTGTGTATTTGGCAGCACTGTCTGGGGTGAAACAGACTGTTTTGTACAGTATCACTTTCCATTCCAGAGGGACTTGCAACATAGTGATTTTTCAATTGATGGTAAGATCTCAATTTCTTCTTTGCAAAGTGAAAGGCCATTTACACTCTGGAATGGAATAATTCCTGTGATATTTTTTTTAAGCGATCCCAATCCTTCAACCACATCGCACCCCTACAACACTGTGTGTCCCTGATCCAGCATTCCATGATGTCACAAGACATGCTTTTAAGCTTCCACAAGGTTTCCCAGTCCAGAGACACTTGCTTGCAGCATTCACCGGCTCAAGACTGGCTGCTACGTCTGTACCAGGGTCAGGTGGAGTTCCTTTTGAACTGTGGAGAAGATACTATTACCCAAACATTAGAGACCAGATGGTGGCAAAGGTGGGTTGCTATCTAGATTCAATAATATAAGGATAACATTATGCTAAAAAAAAATATACAAATTTTGACTATATAAATGCTGAGTAAGCTACTTATTTTATCTAATTACTGTACAGCTTTACATAAGACGTTTACATGTTCAGAATGGCATTGCAGAGTCGCCATTATTGAGAAGCACAGTAACTTGCGGCCATTTTGATAATGCACACCTTCTGTAAGTTTACATGATTGAGTTTGGGCAGTGAAATCCTCATAGAAGCGCTCAGAAAAGAAGTTTTTTATTTTTATTGTACTGCTGTTTCAAATGCCTTTGGAACTTTGGCTTCTTAGAGGTAATCCTGTTTTACATTCTTCTAATCCAGGCCAGTCTTCCACTTGCAAAGCTCTGCGCAATGGTGACAATGCAGAAACAAGGTGAAGCTAACATCCAGAGCTTCTCTTTGCCACTGACAGTCCTTGCTGGCGATGAGGTGGATGGCATGCGACAGGACAGGGTCCGTGACACTGGGCTGCTTGATGTTACTGTAAAGTATCAGCAGGTGGTATCCAGGCGTCTTAAAGAAGGACAAACGACCCTGAAGGAAGGTGACAATCAAATTTGTCTATCACTTGAAGTGATTCAAGCTTGTGGTCTAAAGGTGAATGGTCTTTGGACATCCTTCACAATTAGCAAAGAAGACAGATAGCAATTAATTGAAATAAGTTATTGCCATCTCAATATTAATATGAATGTGGTCATTGTAACGTTGGTGAAGCATCAAAAAGGTTTTGTTGCATACTCACCCTACTATTTTCTTCTCGGTGTACTTTTTTCAGGGGCATCCAATGAGGATATAGTTCAAAACCACTTAACATAGCATTGTTGAACGTAGTTTAGTATTCAAACGGTAGATATAGGCATATTTTTATCCCCTAAAAACTTCTCATCTGTTCGGATTTCCTAGCTGAAAGTGTAGTGATCCGAAAATTATAGGGATAAAAACTTACCTTTTCGAAAACTTCAGCCAGGAAAAGGCTCCCGAAAATTCTAGGTGGCCTTTTTTAGGGTCAAAATCCGTTAAAAATGGGTAATTATACCATTTTGTCAATGTTCGAAAATCCTAGGAGAGGCAGGCAAGCAAGAAATTTTACAACAAATGCTCCGAAAGTTCTAGATCTCAAATCGTCTTCCGAACAGATATTTTCCCGAAAATTGCCGTTGGGTGCCCCTGTTTTTTTGCTGCTTTTGATTCTTTTAGCAGCTTGTCCCCCTGGGAAAGGCACAGACTGATCCTAGACTATCAGTTAAGCTGTATTTTCCTTTCAAGACTGTATAATTAGTCTTTACCCAACACCAAACACCTCCTGTAGAAATGCTTATGTACTTTTAACCGTGTTGTTGCTTCAACCACAGGCAGCAGCAAGTCTACATGCCAGATCAAACCCAAACCTATCATACCCTGCCAAGGTTGGTGTCAATACTTATATTGTGATCCATTTCCCATTTGGACGAAAGCGTAAACATGTGACGAGGACTGTGGCAAGAACGTTTAGCCCTGAGTTCACCTATAGTGCAGACCTGTTGTTACCAATAGTATTGCCAGCAGGTGTTGGAGGAAAGAAACAGCTAAGCTTAGCAGAACAACTGGAAGATGCTGCGATCGTTTTTGAAGTTTGGTTAGTATTCAGGTTCATTTCTCTTTTGCCTGAGAAACGTTTCCCTGAGAAATGCCACTTCAGGCCCTGGTTGTTCAAAAGCTTGATAGTGCTTTCCACTAGATAAATCTCCCTCCAGGGGTTAAGTACATGTATTTGGGAAACCAAGTGCATTATCCACTGGATAGTGCTCTCCTCCTTTTGAACAACAAGGGCCAACACTTTTTATTAATTAATGGAAAGCAAATAGAAGAAGATCTAGGGTAGAGCTTTCACTGAACAATCACATACCATGTAAGTTGCTAAGAAGTGTTAAGAAATGTTTCTTGTAACTTCGGAGTTTGAATTAGCCAGGTGGAAAATAGAGGATTTACAGTTAGGAAAACTTACAAAGTATTACTTCTAACCAGGCATCAAATGTCACGAGGGATGAGTGGTAACCAGGTGACAAGATCAGGTGACTATGGCAAGGGTGGTAGGGAAGGAGACGTGTTGCTAGGTGTGGGACGAGTACCACTTATTATGCTTCTCACACGTAAGACAGGTTAGTCCGTACTTTATTTGAGTGCATTTTATGTGCAACTGTATTCATGAAGTTCAGTTGTAGAATTGTCACCATCCTTGATTGAAAGTGGTAGTATGCTATTTGCTCTAGGGAAATATGGTTTCTATTTTGTACTGACTATTTGTGGTCGCTTTATGACATTAATGTAAAATTTGTGTATTCAGGAGTCAAAGGATGGTACCCAATATACCCTCATACTGAAGGCGACGTTCATGATGCGTCCTCTCATGATGACCCTGAAAAGACCATTGGGGGAGTAGAACTACGCATTTGTTTCTCTGAGAAAGAAGACAGAGATCATGTCGTACATATTTCAAGAGGAGTTGGTTGGTCACCCCCACCTGGAGTAGAATATATTGACGACAGGTTAGGTGAGGATGAAATGTCTAAAGAAGGACACTGGGAATTCTGCTTGAAAATTAGCAAGGCGTGGATTCCTCCTTCAGAATTGAATTCCATTGACACCGCAACAAAGAAAGAGGACAGGAATGTAAAGGCTTATGCAAGATATAAGCTCTATAACAAAGGTATGGACAGGACTATGCAAGTGTCATACACTCTCCATTTCAGGTGTTTGTTTATATTATTTTGTCTATGGTGTATATTTGTCCCAGACATCTTTATTGCATATAATTAATTTGTCTGTTAAGATTGGTGGTAAATCAGAGGGAACAATTTGACTGAATTATTACATACCTTATTGGGATCACCTTACCGCCTTTTTTATTTTTCCATGTAGCTCCCATTGTCTCACGATTAACACCTGTCAAAGATAGTGGGGATGGTAAATTCATCTGTGAGCTGAAGCACTGCAAAGAAATCATGTTACCAGAGACGCCCTCTGTCACCTGGTACATGAGGGAAGAGAATTTAGAGATCCAAGTCTGGCTAAGTAAGAGAAGACATGACGCTGATAGCAACTCAAGAAAAAGAGACAGATTAATGGGCTCGGCCTTTGTAGATGTTTCATCTATACTTATCAGCCAGCAGAGGAAACATAGGCAAATCAGGTTTCAATCCATTAAAATGTTTGGTTGAAATGTCCTTGAGTCTTTTTATTGAATCCCTGGCTTTTTTTGCTCCTAGTGTGAAATATACTGAATTTGTGGTCTCCATCAATCCCTAACTTACTTTAAAACCCGACATTGTTTGTTATTTTGCAGTGGACTGTACCCTCTTTTCAGGTCTGGAGCAAGTGACTTGTTTGGTGCATGCGTTCATGTACAGGCGGCTCTTAAATGGTGTTATGTGAATAGCAGTGACCCAGAGGTAAGACAGACGTGGTTTCATGTGTTAAGCCATCTTCAACTACTAATGTCATCAAGACATTCATCCTTGGAGTAACTTAGGAAATACTCAAAGAAGGTCACTCACACCACCCTGGAGTTCTTTGTATATGTTTTTGTTTAATTTGTACACTTCAATTAATTAAGTCTTCCACAGCCACTATTAACTTTCTTGGGTATTCATTTTAGTTTTATAAATAGCGGAAGTTACTTTCATTCATTCTGGAAAATAATGAACCACCTTCGATGTGTTTTTTGAGTCTGGCTCTTCCTATCATTGCAAGGCCAATGTCCCTTCAAGTCACTCACTCTAGTTATGTGTTCTTGTATTAGCTGCATGTGGACTCTTTCGGAGGTTATTAACTTGAGTTCAGGCGACTGGATTATCACTTCTTCATTTCAGTTTGACCTTTCACAAGACATAGTAAATTCAGATGATTCAGGTAATGATGCTTCCCCTCTAGAAGATTCTGACGCACGCAGCAGTACCATCAAGTCCACCCAGGATCACTCTGCTAAACCCAGCCAACCAGAAACACAGCTGCCCGTCATTGACTCAAATAATGATGACACTTTCACCGCTCATGTTATCATTGAACAAGCTCTTCATCTTCCTACTGTTCCGGGAAGCAATGGTGAAAGGTAACATGAATGCTTTAGCTGCCACATTTCGTAAATCTATTAAGCCTTGTCAGGTTCACCGCCATCTGTGCTTCTCAGGTTTAAAGGTGGCCAAGTAAGGCGCTGTTTTCATAGTGTGAATTGATAAACAACAGTTTGTTTGTTTTTACAGAACATTACCAAGTGTGTATGTTTCCTATCAAATGCTTCCTTCTGTACCGCCTTCATACACATCAGTTGTTGACTCTTCAACCAACCCTACTTGGGAATATCAGAGACTGGAAAGGATAAGTTATAGCTCACTTAACACTTCACAGGTGAATGAAGCATTGTGTTTTTCATACTTATTAAAAAGTATGTATAAGTCTATTTTGTCGTGTGTTAACTGCAGGACCTTCTAGTCGACAGATTAATCAATCCTTCTACTTAAAGGTCACATAACGTTCACTTCCCCTTAGTGACGGTAACATCTGGATGATGCTTGTTTTAGATGGATTGATAGAAGGGACCCGTTATTGGCAACACCCAAAGTGATCTCAGTTTAATTTGACAGTGTCTAATTTTTTTGTATTTTCTTCTCTGTAAGGGTCTTGAATTCAAGGTTTGGCACACTTCAGGCAAGCTCGAGGAAGGTACAGTTGAGTTTTGATTACAATCCAATGAAGCAAGGCAAATTACATAGGGGCAAGTTGAACTACAGTCAAATCCGACTTTAGGAACACCCGCAGTATACAGACACCTGGTTGTTATGGACAGTTTGCTTTGTCCCTGGGAAAAAAGCCCTTACATTTGCTCTAAATTCAACCTGCTTAAAGGTACAGAAAAACGGGTAACAAAAAACGTGCAACTTGTTTTGCAACATTGCTGCAAAACGAGTTGAAAAGCGATGTTGCTCGTTTTACCACCCAAATAAAACCTGTCTTGCAACAAATCAGGTTGTTAACAGGTTTGAACAGGGGTGGTAAAACGCGCAACATCGCTATTCAACTCGTTTTGTAGCGATCTTGCAAAACAAGTTGTCCGTTTTTTGTTGCCCCTTTTTCCGTACCTTAATACGGACACTTGTCTATGGCTCCCCAGGTATTAAAGGGGTTTGACTGTATTAAGTTGGATACTGCTACACTCATGCCTCTCGTCTTAGACTTAAGAGTACGAGTTATTTCACTAATGAAATAATCAGGTGTACCGGTATATAATTTTCCTTGCAGGTCACACCAAAATACCTGATTCTACCAGAGAGAATCCAGATAGCTCCAGTGGTGCGGACCGAGTTCTTGGGGTCGTGTTATTTGATTTATCACCACTGTTGGCTGGTATGAGGCAGCTAATTGGCTGGTACAATGTAACCGATTTTAACGGAGACTGCAAAGGACAGATCAAGGTATTTTGAACAAAGCGAAAGTTTATCAACCGAATTTATGGTATCCTGTGATCGGATGAAACACATATTTAAATGTGAAACAAAGGCTCTCTAATGATTAACAATTTTTGAAGAGATTTAAAAGCAAAACTTTGCAACATTTGTCCAAACCTTCTTCACAATAGTTGTTTTGTTGTCGATGTTGTTGTTGTATTTTAGATTGGTGTTTCACCTGTTATCCCCGTGTCTCCTCCACGATCTTTACCTGCTTCAAGGCAGCGCCTTCACCTCCCATCTTCCACGCAGCAAGATGTGAGTTAACTTAGTTCTGCTTTTGGACTTTCAACAGTTTCTATGATCTAGAAAAGATTCATAGTTCCACTGTTTTTACTTAGGTGTGCCTGCTTTTCTGAACTCGTAAATTGTGACATTTTCAAAATCGTAAATATTTATTGCAAACATCAGTGATATTTTTCAGCGTTTTTGTATTGTAAATTACCAATTATTACTTTATCGGTTATTATATATTACTGTAATTACTTTTACACTAATTTTAAAATACACATGCAAGTTTTAACGAGAACATGATTATGTACTCACCTATGCATACTTCTTTGTGATAAGCGTATTCATAAAATTTAACTGATTGTGTTGAAATATCATTCTGTCAAGGTTAAGTTCACTCAAAGCTATAATTAAAGTAGCCTGTTCAGAGACCCTCTCTTTTCTCTTAAAAGTCTCTTAACTGCGCGTGATAAAAATAAAAACAGCAGGGAATTAAATGACTGCTAGCGTAAGGGGGTACAGGTGGGGGAAGAAGGAAATAGAAATAAAAACAACTAGTTCTTTATTTTTCTTTCTCGCGCTCGCCGATTATCGAAAAATAAAGCAACGTTTGTTTCCAGGCTATAATTAAGGTGGCTCGACATTTATTTTGGAAGGCACACTTTCTTTCTTTTAACTTCTTATTCCTAAGTAGCTTGATCTTAACAAATGAATTACACATTGACTGACACTATATTATAATATATAGATTTAGCCAGGGCTAAAAGCGAAGCTCTGGTTAATAATACGTGTAAACAAAAAAAATTAAATCGTGTAACGCTAAACGGGGGACGACAATGAAAATGGCTTCAAGACTAATAGATCTAATTAGCAAAAAAACAAATTGCACGTGCAGCACACTTTTTCTTCTAATTAGCGAAAAGCAAATTTGCACGTGCAGCACGCGTTTTTGTCTTTCCCTTGCTGTTGTTTTGCACGACTACAATGCTGTTTTGTACGACTAAAGCGTCAAACTTCCTAGTTACACACTATTTTTATGGAGAAATTGTCGTATGTGCTTACCCAATATTTTGTTTCCAGTGTTCATGTTCGCTTTTATTTTTCCCTACCGCTCATTTTCACCTTGCTGGCCGCTACCATTTCTTATTTTCTCACCGCCGCTTTGAATTTCCATGTTTTTCTTCCAACGAATTTTCAATAACTCGCTCTAGCTCTTTCTCTGTTATCCACGTTAGTGTACACATAAAAAATAACGCCGAAAAAGACACGACTTTTTTCTTTCTAAAAGTCCGGGCGGCCATGTGATTTCCTTCCAAATAAAACCTTGAGTTGCATTTGGGTTCCCATACCTGAGCTGTTGATTGAGTTATTTTACATTGGTATGTCTGTGGTGCGGACGGACGGTCGCTCGCACGCTCGCTCGCTCGGTGTACGGTCACGTGATTACCAAATTTTCTGGGATGGGTAGATTACCACATTTCCTTAGCTATGGGGCTCCGCCCACGCGCGCGCTTCGCGCGCGGGTGGAGCTCCGCTATTAATTTTTGCAAGTAAGTGAACTTTTCTAATTACTCACCTCACTTTATTTACTTCTTTTATTCACTAAGCTAATCGAGTTTGGTTCTAGGTTGAGCTGACTGACTCGTCGTCTCTAATCAACCAGAGAGAATCACATCAAATGATTCACCAGGATGGTTCAGTCCTCAGATTACACACAGACAAAAAACCTCAGGATGATCAAACCAGTGGCTTTAGACCACATACACTTGATACTGCCATTCACACACTGGATGCAGATGTAGGGACAGCGCCAGTATCTTCCACTTCCTTCCTCTTGTCCCAATTAAGGTGCGTAGGCTACTTGTTTTCTCATCAATTTTTCGGTTGGACTTCTGAACATGTCTACAAGTTGATACGCTCTTTCAGTTCCTTATACCATGTGATACTGTTCGTCGTCAGTGCGATCTGCGAAACACTTTTTTCTGTCATAGCTAGCTACTTAACCGTGTTTGTCGATAATTTCGATAATTTTCTTATCGGATGAAAAATAAGCAGACTCATTAGAATTGGTAATGACAGTAATCGCTATTAATATAGTACCGTAAGAGTGAAATTGATACGCATTCTTCTTGTCACTAAGACTCCGAAAATGTTGATGATTCGACGCCAACTGAGACATTATGCCCCTTAAGCTAAGGTACCCAAAGCATTCTTCCATGAACGATGCATCCGAGTTGCTTCTGTGTCAGTATATGTACGAACTTATAGACTTAAGTCAGGCTTTCTTTTTTCCTTGTGTTCTTTTCTTAGGCATAGTATGAAGGAGTTGGATGTTCTACAGCAAAATTTAAACGTCAAGTTAAAAGCTGGCAGTGCGGTAGGGGATAGCAGTGTTCTCACTCAGGAACGCCCATCCGTTGTTGCTTTACCAAGTTTTTTCTCAGACACAGTTGCCACAAGAGAGTTAAAGGGTTCAGAGACAATTCATGCCAAACACAGAATTGCTGAAGAACCTGATTTGAGGAGTAAAACCGCCTCAGAAACTGAACACAAGGAGATGGAATTTAGACGGGGAGTAATTTCGCTAAATGATAAAGAAATCATCACTCCTGGTGATAGGCGGTTGCTGTCCTCTCCGTTTTCTGTTCGTGATGATACTGTTGAAGGAATTGGAGATACGATCAAACAGGGTGAGGTGGAAGCATCTAGTAGCAAAGACAATTTAGACCCTCATAAAAGTGAAGACGGATGTGTACTTCAAAATGCAGAGGGTGACAGCTTCTTCACTTTCAAGGGAAGGACTTCTTTAAATGAAGGAACAAATAAGAGAGACCTCTTTCCTTTTGATGAAGATAGAAAAGAAAATATACATCCTAATCAGCAAGTTGACAGTTTCTTCGGTTTAGAGAGAGACAAGTCTGCTGAAAATCGGAGGCCGTCAATTGATAGTGAGCTAAGTATTAGTGATGTCTCTGATGATCTCTCTGTTAGTGGATATGTTCAGGATAACTCGAAAACTGCAAGGTTTACTGACATTAAAGACAGTTGGCTAAGCAGCGAAGATGAAGACATACCAGAACCTGTAGAACAGTCTGAAAATCCTGGTCTGTCAAAATCTCCTTCCGTAATTTCTTCAGAGAGTGATGCAAATGTTGGACTGAACAATGGTGCAGTGTCGTTGCCAAGCACTCAAGAACTTTATTTTAATCCTGATGCTAATAATGACGAAGTGAAAGACAAGGAAATAGTTGACAGTAGTATGAAAGGGGACCAACAAGGTGTAAGAAGGAGGATAATCATGGACAACGTGGACTTCATTGATAAAGCTAGTGCTGACGTCCCTGGTGAAAGTGCCGCTGGTGGGTCAGTTAATAGTGGTTCAGATGCCAAAAACGCAACCTTTCAAACTGATGAAGAAAATGACTACAACTCTCCCGTTTATTACAGAAAACCACAGTCGAGAGAACTGCCAACGAGCCCTGTTCTGTCAGTTCCTCGTTCTGGTCATCATCTAAAAAACACTTTGCCGAACTTTTTTATGCCCACAGAACAATTAGTAGAGTCTATGAGGTCTCTAAGATTAGGTTCCTCAAATCAAAGATACGGCAGCACTAATTCACATTCCAAACTACTGGCTCGTTCCAGTCATTTGAAAAGTGACGGCCAACATACAAAAGGGAACTTAACTGAACAGTTCACTAAACGCAAGCCTGTTTACAAAGCAAGAAGAGACGAAAGACCGCCAATATCTAGATCAGAGGCAGCTCGGATTGCTAAAATTTTCAATTCTGGGAGTGTTTAGCAGCAGATCAAGAAAGAGAAATATACTTTTGCCTTTTCTTCTAAAGTTGAAAGTAGTGCGTATTAAACCGTCTACCTATATGGTTTATTAAAGAAAGAAATAACTTGTCGTGTCGTATATTCACTCCTTGCAACTGCTGCTTCTCTAAAACAGCGTGAAAAACAAATCTATGTGCCGGCAGGTTCTGTAGAGAGGTTTGTCAGTGACAAACGTGCGGAACCAACTGTACGCTCTGACAATAAAAGAACAAACTATATGCGTTAAATAAAAGATGAAGGGGTCCGAATGTCTTGGTTTTATACATTCCGTTCTACTGCCTGTTTATGTACTGAACGTGTTGAATTCATGACTATAAGTATGTTCTATAGAATAAAAACGTTCTCAGAGCCATTCCAGTTTATTTTGAGTGGTTATGTGTTAAGCGTTCCAGGCTTTTAATTTTACGTTCTTCAACGTCCCCATCCGTCCCAAGAAAACTTCAGTTGGTAAGGAAAAATTTAAGATTTGTTATACTGTGTTTTTGTTATGTAGCTAAGAAAGTAAGCCCTTTAGTATGAGTAAATGCAGGTTGCTAATTTTAAGTGCAAAAACGTAATAAAACACAAGTGAAAGTTAACTGTATAATGTGCATGAAGAATAGACCGTTTTGTGCCTCTAATTCCTCTATATTCATGTTTATCACACTCCAATAATAATTGGAGTTATTGTTGGGATGTGCAAAGTGCATGAAAATTAATAAAAGTCTAATATAAGTAGACAACCCCAAGCGATGTGATAAAAGCATAGAAATTATCATCTGACAAGGTCATATGTCCATCATGAATTTGATAAGCTGTTTTGCTGATAGTCACAAGTTTTCAATATCCAGTCAGATGGTATTTCAAATAGCAATTACAACTCATGTGACATGTATTCAAAATTAGGCCTGACGGTCTAATTGACATGGATATTTAAAAAATAGCATGAAAAAGGTATATTTGGATACTCCTTATGATGTTATTTTACCTGTTTGCTTTTTGTTTGTTTTTTGTTTCTGGGTTGCTAAGCACCCAGCCCTGTATTTATAACAGTGAAGGAACTTCTTGTCTTGTAGCTAGTCCCACATCTCTAAAGTACTGTATTTTAACCAAACAACTGAGGGTGATTGGTATCATGCATCCTAGAGCTGTTTTGTGATGCACTCATCCCATCATTTCATGGGTCATGGACGAAACAAATTATTATTCACATGTATATTAAAACAAAGCTTGTATTATTATTACTTTAAAAAACTAGGGCAGATTCCCTACAAGAAAATCACATGACTCACATCACTTGGAAAGATGAAACACAAACTAAAAGAGTCTATTGGGAGCATGTGTGATTTATTCTGTCATAGTTGCATACTTTCTCAAATAAGCTCCCACAATCTACTAGGCAGCCACCTGTTTATCAAACTAGAATGTAAGTCTCCCTCTTAAGTTTCCTTCTCTTTAATAGTACAGATGATCCAATGAAAGTCATTTTTCATCTTACTGTTATTTTACTACACCAGTATCAATGGAACAATGTTTTTTCCCCTTCCCATTTGCCTTTATCTGGCTAAGAACAAAAACTGTCTCCAAGATGTTTACAATAGTCAAGTACTACGGTAATTGCACAATGCCACCTCATTTTTTTTGTCCACGACTTTTTCTTTTCCTCCCACTTGTTTTCTTTTGCTGGGCATTTACCAGGCTTTGTTTTAAGAATTCCTGAAAACCCAAAGAAGAGTGGAAGTACAAGTAGAAAGTTAAATAAAATTTACAATTGAAGTTTCTGGTCAACTTAACATGGGTTTTTGCTTTTTCTCTGGCCTGTTTGCCTGAATCGTGCTCAGGTTCATGACTGTTAAAAATGACAGTGTTAGAAGCAGTAAAATGGACGTGGAACCACAGGGGCAGTTGAATTATGAATGTGGTCAATTACAGTTGTTATTCAAGGGAATATAAAATACCTAAGGTTGTTAAACATCCTATTAAAGCCACAGGACACCCAAATGGCTGAATCTTTAACTAGTGAAGCATCTGTCTCAAACGTAGCCATTCTCCTTTAGGCAAAAGCAGTGTCGTATTTTGCTATTAAACTGCATATTAACCTGATGTTTTGGGTGTGAATGCCCAAAGAAATTGCCGCAGCAACAAGTGGGAAAAAAAGAAAAAGATGCAAGGGAACCCATTGAAAGATCCTTCTGCTCAACTCTTGCAGGCTTTCTTCAACTCACTCCACAAACCTCCATTCTTTACCAATAAGGAAATAACTTTCACCCTTGTCTTATGTGTCTTGCGGAATTCTGAAAAAGGTGTTGGACTGTTGTCAGCAGAGCTTGCCTGGTATCTATGGCAAAAGTGTGGCTAGGCTCCATAATGAGTATATGGCATGTAAAATAAATATAAGTTAAATTAGTTACCATATTTATTTGATTAGAAGCCGCCCTTGATCAAATGCCACAGATGGAAGCAAAATTACCAATAAACGCCGCCCCTGAATAAATGCCGCACCTAATCAGAAGAATGCAATGTTTACTCGAGGATAATAAGAAAACCCTTTATAAACACTTGGTAATTTACAACATCCAGACATTTACGATTCTATCTCCCCGAAATAAGGGAGACAGTGGAACCTTAAAATTACATAATATTTACGAAAGATTTACAATAACTGTTGTCAATGATTTTAAAAAAGTGATTTTGAAATAATTGCAGCTCTTGAATAAATGCCACCCTTGAATAAATGCCACATTGGAAATGCTGAAAACTTAATAAAAGCAGCGGTGTTTAATCGAATAAATACGGTACCTTGTGTGTTGTGTGTACAAGTACAGTGTATTACCAAATTAACATTAAGCTTACAGAAACTGTAGAGTATTTGAATATCTAACACAGAAAAAATGCATGCATTTGGAGTTTACTATAAAGTCCAGTCCCTTTTTTCAGTTTGCGTCCCCATAATTATAAGGAATATCGAATGAATCCATCATCACCACAAACGACTAAGCACATGCACATGGTGATCGATCGTGATGGTGCGTGATTGTACAAGGATGATTCCACAGTACACCAACGTGAATTCCTTTTCGCTAGGAATCCTCCACAAACTAGAAGGAAGGAAACAGAGGCGAGGCGACATATGAAAATGCAAAGTAACAAATCTCGAACAAATTATTTCCTCAAGGGTGATATCATACAACTGTTCAAGGAGGTTTGTTTAAGCATTCGATGTTGCTATGTGAATCCACCATGCAATTTCTGTTCCTGTTCTTGTCTCTTTACAGCTTCTTGTGCTTCCTTTTGCATGGTTTCCAGCTTTTCAAGTGTCACAGACTTCATGGGCATTATTTTGGGCTTGCAAAGAACCGGCATCGGAGTTTGCTCAGTGAAAAGGAGTCCCTTTTTAGGAAGAACTTCCTTGAATACAATCTTCTCTCCGGCCATCTTTGTCTTCTCTTAAGGTAGTAGCCGCTGACCAAAATGTTAAAGAAAACAAATACATTAAATGGGAGAAATTATGTTTTATTTTCCGATGTTCTAAATGGTCAGTAATCGTCAAAAACTTTATGCGCTGGAAAATAAAAATATAGTGGTATACGTGATTTCATAAATGTGGCAATTCGAAATCAAGTTTCTAAATACCGGTATTCTCTAAGTAAAGGAAATTCCAAACTAACCATTCAGGGAACACTTGTCACACTTAGCTTATAATTCCTCCATTCGACACAAAAAATCTTTTAAATCAAAGTGAATATTCACCCACATAATTTAAAACCCACTCTCAAAACAAAATTAAGAAGGCAAAAATTAAATGATAATCAGATTTGGTCATGATCCAAAACTGATTGTGTTTTGATTTTGCTTTCGATTGTCAAAGACTGTAAATTTCGTCTATTATAAAGCAAGTGATGGCATTTCTTTGAAAATGTAAAAAATAATTGACGACCCACAAACGCCTACGTAAAGACTCAATTTATTTCTATATGCTTGCGAGAATCAGCTAAAAGGCATAAGATAGACCAAGATACGCCCTTGCATGTCTCAAGTCTTGCTACACATCATCACTTTTTTTAGACATTTTGCTTTATCTTCTTAGTTCTTTCCAGTTCCAAGGATTGTTGGAAAGTAGGTTGATAAAATGTATCTGTATCTTGGGGCGATGCAAGAAATACTCTTGAGAAAAGTCTTGTAGGAATCTAGCTTGAGGAGTAGCTTGAGGAGTAGCAGGTTGGGAGTTTTGTGGGCGCGGCAAATTTGTGGTCTCACCGTCGAATGACGTCCTTGTAACATAGCGACGTTTAACCAATCACAACGTGCGAGGATTCAAAACAGACCAATCATGGACTTTCCATCACGTGCCCTGAGGTCACTTTTAACTTTGGTTTGCTTCGCAAGAAGCCTTCGTGAAAGGAGGGAAGCTCTGGATTGTTTTTTGAATAGCCCGTATTTGTTCTCCCGTGTGCCACTGGAAGCAACAATCCTTCCCTTTTTCGTAGGCAAAACGGCTACCTGTTTGAGTGTCTCACTCGATAAGCTTGCACGGAGCTGCTGGCATTTCGACCTTTACTGCTCGAGTTTTCTGGTGCAGAACTGCCTTCTATTCCATTGTTCGAAGCCGCTTGCCAGCAACAAATTCTGTCGCTGTCGATTAGAAAACGTGTCAACTTCACAAAACCTTCTCTGAAACGATGTGAAGCTGTTTTCGTAAGGCTTCTGGACACGCCAGGCGGTAATCGGGCATCTTCGCCAATTTCATATTTTTATAGGAGTGACTCTTTGGCCTGGGAGCATTTGAGGGTGGTTGTCTCTTTTACGTAAGCTGAAGTTTACCTTGTTATTCGAAAGGAAACTTGTGAAAGCATTCGTTTTCCAGCAAATTGCTGAGCGATTAAATTCTGGTTTTAAGGCTTCGGAGGAGCATTTTCTACCTGTACGAGGTATCTGGGACATAGTGTTTTTACTGCCTGCTAGTCAACAGCGAGAAGGAACCGT